TATTCATTTGCAGCTGGATGTAAGGGATGTCATGTAACACGATCATCAAAATGGCCTCAAAGCATGTTCTCAATTTGCCATGCCACAGAGTGCATCCAAAAAGGGCAAGCACAAATAAACATGTGTTCCTTCCATAAAAATTCCTAGCAGAATCTATCTTTTAGCTTGTTTCCTAGATCCTAAGTTGGCTTGTAAACAGAACACAATATAATGCTGTGAGATCAATCGAAGGTCTCAACTTTATATGTTTGACAATCTGTTGACAATCCCTAATCACCTAGAGCTATAAGCAACGCAGTCGAGTGGACCACCTCATCATCCATTGCTGCTCAGGCCATTCTTCATGGGATTTTTGTTTGTCTTGCCATGTTTGGGAAGATTAGATTTTAGCCAAAAAAAACCATTAAAAAAGCAAGTCATATATTAAAAAAAAAAAGGTCAAAGGTTCCTTCTTTTCTCAAATTTTTTGCACTTTTTTTCCTAAAAATCCAAGAAGCTATTCCGAAACACTTTCTATGCATTCACTTCATATTTTGGGCAAAAAATCACTTCCCAAACGAACCTAAAATGATCCTATTGGCCATAAAAGTGGTGTATATTTTGTCGGCAATAAAACTGACATAATTTAATCTTCAACTTGAGTGCATGGTTCTAAATAATAATGATATCAGGATATGTATTTGTATATGTAATATGATCATATATGGACCGATATTGAACAGTATTAGCTGATGTATTACAAGTCCAAACTATATGTTAATTACCTCATGTAATATGCATTCACTTTCCACTAAAACAGAAAAACAACCCCTGGAATCAGATTTCTAAAATTATAATAAACTAGCCCATTTAATTATTATATACAGAAAATAACCAACAAAATGTAGTAATAAAAATTGTACTACTATATGAATCTGAAATTACATAGTTAATATCTTAATCAATGTGTGGCAGAGAGTAGTTAGAAGGTTGGTTGTGGCGTACCGAATTAGGAGGGCGATTAGAGTGATGCCTGATTAAAGGGGGTCGGCGGAGAGGATCACTACCTTCCAAATCATGACGATCACGACGAGTAGTATTGTTGTGGATTTGGTAGTGATGGTGGTGGTCATGGCCTCGATTTCTATGGCTCTGCTGCTGCTGCTGGTGGAAGCTCCGATCGAGCCCTAGGTCGAGACTGTTGCGGCCGAGTCGCGACCTCCTGTTCTGAAACAGCTCCGAAGCACTCGTCATTCAACACCGCACTACACGTTTTTCCTTTCTGCGATTCGATTCGAAGAGAGCACAAAATAAGAAGCGAATTTGATACACAAAAAATGGAAAATGCAGAGAATCAGTAGACCTACCTTATCAGAAAACCGGACTTGTGTGTGTGTGTGTGTGTGTGTGTGTGTGTGTGTGGTGGGGGGATATGGCTTCAATATATAATTTTTGAAAAAAAAAATCAAAATTTTATTTAGTTCATATTTTTTAAAAGAAAATTTTAAAAATTATTTTTTCTTTTTTACACATTAATTAATAATTTTTTCTCTCTTCTCTCTTATTTTCAATCATTTTTCTCTCACCTAAATCTCTTCAATTATGGTGTTTTGAGAAGTTGGTAAAAAATTGATTTTTTTAATTTTTTTATTTATTTTGTCTTTTTGTTGGTGAGTTATGTAAGAGGTGATGTGATCCAAAATTAATAAAAAACTGGAAGCTAGATTTTTACTAACTTCTCAAAAGAGCACTATAAGAGCATCTCCAAGGGGATAGTTAAACAAGTCTTGTTAGGCATTTTAGCCAATGTAAGTCTAATTTTGAGTTCCAATGGGCTAGCTATTGGGTTAGCTACTTTACCATCCTATTTTTTTGGTGGCTACAATTGAAGAGCCCTAGAGGCTCTCCAAACAATTATGTATGTATATATTTTAGATTTTTGTATATTTATGTCTTGGATTTAGGATTTTATTATATATATATATATTGTATCAAATTATTTTTTCTTTTTTACACATTAATTAATAATTTTTTCTCTCTTCCCTCTTATTTTCAATCATTCTCTCTCACATAAATCTCTTCAATTATGGTGTTTTGAGAAGTTGGTAAAAAATTAATTTTTTTAACTTATTTTATCTTTTTGTGGGTGAGTTATATGAGAGGTGATGTGATCCAAAATTAGTAAAAAATTGGAAACTGATTTTTTACTAACTTTCCAAAAGAGCACTATAACAAAATAACAAATTATATCAAATTTTTAAATTTCAAAACTATTTTTAAAATATACAATTAAATAAATTTCTAAACTCTCTTTTTAAATTTTCTTTTAAAATCTATTTCAAAACACAAATCAAACCGACTCGAAAGTTTTTAGAGATATGGAGAATGCAGAAACCTCTCCCGGAGAGAGAGAGAGAGAGGTGAAATTTGAAATTGAGAGACTGTTCTTTTTATTATTCAAAAAAATAGATAGGTTGATAGGTTAGTCTAATGTATTGTCCTTAACACTTATAATATATCTGTAAAAAATATTTATTCATTTATGTTAGAGCATCTCTAATTCTGAACTAAAATTTTTATTAAATCTGAGTAAAAAAATGACTTTTTCTTTAATTTGATACCGAGTGCTCTAACGGTTGATTTTCATCAAATCTGTGCCGGAATAACCGGTTGATCGATCGACCGGTCAACCGTGTGGTCGACCGATTAAGCTAATTTTTTTTTTTTTGAATTTTTTTTTTGAACTGTTTGAACCTTTTAGTGATCGACCGGTTGGTCGACCGGCCGGTCAACCGGCTGGTCGACTGGTAAGACAAAAAAAATTTTTTTTTTTTTCAACTGTTTGAACTTTTTTTGGAATCTTTTGGTGGTCGATCAGTTGGTCTCCCCCAACGGTCATGCACAGTGTTTTGGTAAAATACGGAACCTGTCTTCCTTTTGGTAAAACGTTTGATGAATTCTCGATTTGATATCAATTTGGTAAAATCGTTAGAGCTCCAAACATTACTTTTTTCACCAAATTTCAAATTTGATACTAGGTTTGGTGAAAGATTGGAGATGATCTTAGGGATCAAAATTTAAGTCCACACGGACTCCAAACACTTAAAAATATATTTAATCCTAATAAAAAATTATAGAAATTCAAACGTACTCCAAACACTAAATAATATATTTAATCCTAATAAAAAATTATAAAAATTCAAACGTACTCTAAACATTAAAAAATATATTTAATCTAATAAAAAATTATAAAAATTCAAAAAACACGGTTGGTAAATTGGAACTGCTCAGTGTTGAAGAGGAGGAGAGATAGGGAGAACGAAGCAATGACGAAAGAGGTAAAATAAAAAAAAAAACATGTCGATTCTTCGTCATCCCAAGTTTTCAACTTTTACGACCGCTTGTGGTCTTCGCATACGCCTTGCAGTGCGTGTTGCAAAACACCAAGGATCCTCTAAAATAAAATTTTTCTAAAGTTTCCTAGAGTGTTATATTGTGTGGTTGAGATTTACTGGCAAGTCACATCAGAAAAATTGATGTGACTTGCCAATAAATCTTAACTACACAATGTAGCACTCTAGGAAACTTTAGGAAAAAATCACTCTAGAGGATCCTTGCTCGTTGCAAAATTGTGTTCTGCAAAATTGTGTTTTGTTTTGAGTTTCTAACCACATCTTCAACGTTTATTTATTTTTCATTTTTTTTAATTAAATTTAAATAAAAATTTTATTTGATATTGAACATTTCCACAAATTTTTTTTTTTTTTTTTTTCATTAAATCGCGATTCAATTGGTAAGGATGACCAAAGAGGATCTCTGGCCGGAGCGACCATTAGTGTAAATTTATTAGAACTTTTAAAGTAAGAAAGATGATTGTTTAGTGCCAAAAATGGAGAACGAGTACAGAAACTAGTTGTCCTTCTGCTCCAAGTGTATGCCCGCTCACTTAAAAGACAAAGGAAATAATTACAACATAATTTGATAAAGATTTCATGTATTTTTCAAAAGGCATGTACCTATGCGAAACCATATGCTATCTATGTGTCATGCATATATATAGCTCTCTAACTGCAAGAACCTATTCTCAGATGCTATGGGACTATATGAGCTCTAAGATGTGTATATTAGTAAGTGTGAAGCTGCCAAGAATGGAGTAGCTTCGTTTCATGCAAATTGGAGAATTAATAATGAATTCAAGATAATATGCAAATAGAGCTCGTTGAGAGAACTGACGTAGTAAAATTGAGTTTTCTAACGAACAATTGCTAGTAGCTTCAAATTTCTCTAGCTCACTTAATGCAAGTACGAAGGAGACGCTCCAAATTTCACTATATAGGCTCCTCACTAGACACTTACTCGTAAAGCCGTCGCTTATATGAGAGTGACAATCAGAAAAATAGAGTCATAAAATATTATTATATCTCCTTGAATCCCACAGGAAGAGTATCTATGAGTCCAGATCTACGAGTTCACGATTATTGCTGCTGTTCTACTGTAAGATTGTGTATATTGTTGAGCATTTTAATTAAATTCTAAATGAATTTCTAGGTGTGTTAGATTTAATTACTCTCAATAACGTACATATATAGTTTTTTAGCACTATACACTAATTGTGTCTTATATGTGACTGATTTGTTGTGAAAAGTATAATAAAATTGATAAGAAACTCAGGTTCTTATAGTCTATGCTTCCTCTCGTAGATTATCATACTCAGGGTGTATTATCATCTGACACAACATGAAGTGGAAGCTCTAAGAATATAGATGATAAGAGTAGGAAAGTCTACTGAGGAAAACAAAATAAGGGATAGGAATGAGAATTAGTATAAACGTGTGAAAAATTATTTTTTAGAGCATCAATTCCAAGTATAGGCTCTGACTATGGTCCTATAGCAAGCCAAGTAAGGTCTAAAGACGTAGACGGAGACAAGCTTGCGTTATCACATTATTGATAAATATTTAATAGTGCAGTATCTGTGGTAATAACTGCGCGATGGTAGTTATTGATTAGAAGTGTCGTCCAACAGTACAATTTCTATAAGTAAATAGAGAATCAATAGCTATGTCAGCAACGATGTGAGTTGATTAGTATGCATAGTAGCGAGATAGTTTCATGAAGTTTAGGTAGATATGAGTGCACATTAGGTATTCAGCGACAAATCATGAGAAGACGATTTAATGTGCTCGTTGGCAAAACAAGGGCCCAAGGTCAATCAATAGAGAAAGATAATACTACAAAAAATGCACAAATCTTAGTGTGATAATGCATGTCCGTTCATAAAGTATGAGTTGATTCAAAAAACTGATCATTGGTAATAACATAGACAACTCAAAGAGCTCTTTCTGAATAGTTGAAGAGATGGTTGAGTTACAATTAAGTATGGTCTGAATGGCTCACACGAGCTGCACATCATCTCACATAGTATATTTAATTCTCATCAACTGATACTGAATAAATCTCAGAGCAGACGTGCATTCATTTCGGATTATCGCAAGATATGCGACTAGCCATCAGTGTGAGTGAAATGAGTGAGCACTCTCACTCATAGGTACAGTGTGTCAACTACCATCACATGCTAAACATTAAAATGGTCAAGTTTCCATCATAAGCACATATATGTGCGTGATCAAAAGCAGACACATCTCTGAAAGCAGCACGTCAGCATATATACAATGAAATATCTACGTATGTCCTCTCAGCACTCTCGGAAAGTATGATGGTGCCGGTAGATCAGATGGAGTGAGAGTTCCAAACTATGATGGGAATGGTGACTAACTTCTTGATAACCTCCTCTCGCATCGATCCTTGATGTGGTCTACACTCTTGCTTTGCCTATACTATCTGTGCGTCTAGAATATTACACTATAGTCTCGTAATCGTTGTGCATGTCGGTCCCAGTGGTGACTCTAGGCCTAAGTGCACGACAGTTCAATCTTGCTCACCGAACGATTGTTTGCATGCCGTTCTTCTCAGCCGTCTGTATCAGTTACAAAAGATTAGTATATGAGCCAAGTCATTATAGAGTATATCACTAGTCGTGGAGAAATCTCATACTTATGTAAGTTAAAAAATATATAGTAAAATAATCATATGAGATAAGCAGCTGGCGATGTCTCTACATATTACATGGATTATACTTCCGAATATAATCTGCTAAACACGAGTGAGTGCGAATGAATAACAGTACTAATTGCTTCTAGTATACTAATTCGTGTATATATATTCATCTATAAATCTAGTTATTTTAATTTCAGCGAATATTATTGAGTATGTGAGGTGGTGGCTTGTAGCTCTCTTAATTAATCGTTGTAGTTTACATGAGTTTATATATTAAATTTCATCACTGGCGATATTAATGACAACGTACAATTACCCACTAATCGTTATCATTAGCGATTGAGAGAAATAGGATAATTTACTCTTATGCC